TTTTTGTTTCCTCAGAATGAGAATCTGCTGCTTTAGAGCATTGTTACTGGTGTGAAGAGGGTTATAAAAGGAAAACCATGCAGCGTGATTACACACTAATGCGCCAATTTATGTTTAGCTGAACAGACAGCTCACTAGGGAGCACTGATTTGTGAACAACTTTAATTGTATGAGGTGCCAGATCTGCCTGGAAGTGTCTGATAATGATGAGTGTTTTATTAATGCTCTGCTGATGTCCACTTGTTCTAGGCTATGGGTTCTCAAATTTTTCTGAGTGTAGAAAACATCTTTTCAGGGAACAAATTACCTGCAGAGCATTGCCTTGAGTTCCCCGAGTTTTATTTACCTATAACTTGAACTACTGGGCAACCCCAGTAGCTGGAAAAGAAACATTGAGAAAACAGAGCATGACCTTGACAGGCTTGAGAGATGGGTCGTTGCCAACCTCATGATGTTCATCAAGGTCAAGTGCAAGGTCCTGCACATGGGTTGGGGCAATCGCAAGCCCAAATACAGGCTGGGAGGAGGATGGCTTGAGAGCAGCCCTGAAGAGAAGGACTTGGGGATGTTGGTTGATGAGAAGCTGAACATGACCCAGCAATGTGCACTTGCAGCCCAGAAAGCCAACCGTGTCCTGGGCTGCATCAAAAGAAGCGTGACCAGCAGGTCAAGGGAGGTGATTCTCCCTCTCTGCTCCGCCCTCATGAGACCCCACCTGCAGTGCTGCATCCAGCTCTGGAGTCCTCAGCACAGGAAAGACATGGACCTGTTGGGGTGGGTCCAGAGAAGGGCCATGAAGACGGTCAGAGGGCTGGAGCACCTCCTGTACGAGGACAGGCTGAGAGAGTTGGGGTTGTTCAGCCTGGAAAAAAGAAGGCTCCAGGGAGACCTTATAGCAGCCTGTCAGTACTGGGTAATGGTTTTAAGATGAAAGAGGGCAGATTTAGATTAGATATTAGGAAGAAACTTTGTGAGGTTGATGAGGCACTGGGACAGGTTGCCTAGGGAAGTTGTGGATGCCCCATCCCTGGAGGTGTTCAAGGCCAGGCTGGATGAGGCTTTGAGCAACCTGGGCTAGTGGGAGGTGTCCCTGCCCATGGCAGGGGGGGTGGAACTAGATGGTCTTTAAGGTCTCTTCCAACTCAAACCGTTCTATGTTTCTATGATTAGGATTTTAAACACAATTTAGGAGGTCAATATTATACCGACCTTCTAGGCTTGGGTTTTTTGAGACTATTAGCAAGTGCTTTGAAGGCAGCTCAGTTGCCACACACCATCTCTGTTTGAGCCTTCCTGAAGCTTTTCAGCCAAAGTCCAATTTCTGAAATGCCATCAACATAAAAGGAACAGCTCTGGACTTAAAAACAAGACAGTTGTTATGGGTCTGTGCTTGTGTGCGAGATTCATGGTGATGACTTGTTGACTTTCAGTTAATAATAAGAAAACCTCAACACAACCAAAAATAAAGCTGATTCTTAACAATTTTTGATGATGGCATGCTATGTTTGAAAAATGAGACCGTAGTAATTTATTATTAATATCATATAAGACTGTATGCATGTCTGTACAGATTTTTAATAGGTTTTAAGACAAAAAACCCCATTTTGATACATTTTTATATTGTCTCCAGACTGCAGAGAAAGAATGTAAAGCCTTGATGAAACAGTGTGATACAGCAATAGTATCTGTTTCTCTTAAAAGAGACGGAAGAGAATATAGGTGAAGACTGAAGCAGGAGACAGAACTACCCCAATAATCTGAAGTGCTTGTAGGAGGAGTAATCATGATCATTTGAGTTCACACTTCACAGAGAATTTTGCAAAGTTCTGCAACAGTTTTTCAGACTTGTAGAAGAGAAAGAAGATAAGATAAAAAGGATGGTTGGAGACTAGAAGAAATTGCTAGGAAAGAGGGTGCAAGATCAGGGATGGTGAAACAAGATGCATTGTTCTGACCTGATTTAAAGAACTTGGTTAGACTTACCTAGCAATCTGTTCAGTGGGCAGTGAAAAGATAGCTGGATAGTTCAAGTGTATAGGGCAGATAGATTAGAACTCAGAGCTTTTCGTGGGAATTGCCAGCTATTGGAAGTATTTATTTGTGACAGAAGTTATTTTCTCCTTTTATACTCATGAGAGATAGGTTCTGAGGGAAGGTTCCTAGTACTGAAAAAAAAAGTGAGCTCACCAGTCTTTTTGTTTTGTATAACTCATCCTTTCTGTATTAAGGTTGTTGTCAGGTTTGGAATTCAAGGCTTTCTCTTTTAGTTTAGGACTTTGTTAAAGGTACTTTTGCAAACTGGTCCTTTGGCTCAAGAATTTGCTGCTCCTGCTGGCTTATCAGTGCTTCTGTGGAGGTTATTGCAGCAGAGCTGGTGTCTGGTGCTTGGTGCAAAATCAAGACTCTCAGCTTACCAAATCTAAGCTAAGAGACTGGACTCTGCAAGTGGGTGAGATGTAGGCGTGCGACACGGGCTCTGCAGTGGGATGCTGAGGCACGTTAGACAGGAGGAGGTGGAGGCAAGAGGGCCATAATTTCTTGAATAGTTATAGTATAATGTGGAATTTGTGAGAGTTGCAAGTAGGTCCGTTCCTAGGCTGCATAGGTTGCCTGTAGTGCCTGTGAATGAGCCTTCCTAGTAGTAACTGATTGATATGGAGGTTAAAAGTTTTAGTTATGCTTGGAATAAATAGTGGGATTAAAAAGGATTTAGTTTAAAAAAACAAACACTGGGACTTGTCTACTGTGGTATAAAGGCAGTAATTGACAAATATAACAAGCTCTTATGCCTCCATATGAAAGGAGATGACTTGTTTTCTCTTCCATATTTTCAGGTCATCCATTGACAGTGAACCTGCCTTAGTTTTAGGGCCACTGAAATCATTACAGGAGTTACGTCGGGAGCAGCAGCTGGCAGAAATTGAGTCCCGCCGACAGGAGAGAGAAAAGAAAGGTCAGGAGGAGGAAGGAACAAAGCCACCAGTGCAAGAAATGGTGGAGGAACTCCAAGGACCATTCTTGTATGAATTTTCATACTGGGCAAGGTAATACCAAGCTCCAGTGGACAAGGTGTATTCTTTGTACTGTTGTCTGGTGTTTGCACCAAACAGAACAGTGATACATTCCACATAGGGAAGAGCTGCTGTACGGGTGGCTGTGCCTGTTCTTGCTGACTGTCAGCTAAGTGGAAACTAGTACCACATAATATGAATTTTGCTCAGGTTACTGTTGGTATTTTTTCCTTGGCGTATTTAGAAGGGTCAGTATGCTGTACTCTGTTCTACATGAGAGCTGCTAGTTCCATTTTCTTCTAATTGTATCTTATTTGTGTTTTATAGGTCTGGAGAGAAAATTACTGTGACACCGTCATCAAAAGAGCTGCTTTTCTACCCACCTTACGTGGAAACAGTTGTTAGTGGAGGTAAATATAAGTAAAATCTAGTTTGAAAGGAGTAGATTTTTAAGGCAGAAATGTATCCTTATAGATGAATGTAGGAATAGCTCTTCAAACATAATGTTAGGAGAGTTTCAGTTGCAGCTATTTCTTTCAGCTAGTTTGTCTGGGGAATTTTGAGGCATGGGTATTTGATAGAAGGTGCAAGTACAGTTTTTATCAGCAGAATATGCTTGCAAGTGCTGAAAGACCACTTGGCACAAGAGAAAGGACTAGACTTCTGATATTACACCATATTCTCAGAATTATTCATGTTACTCTTGTCTAGAAAAATAGTTGTGCAAAAACAATGTTTGTATTTTGAGTTTATTACCAAATTCAAATCTCTGTTAAGTTTTCTTTGTAGTAAATTACAATAATAAAAATATTCACAAAAAGTAAACTTCAAAATTGTTAGGGGTATCATCAGTCAGTTGGTGCTACTTGTTTAGTCAGTGTCCATCTTGCCTTCGGGTTCCTAAGTGAGCATACTTTGAAATCACTAGAAAATGTTAGGTACCCCTTTCTGTGTGGCTCTTTGTTGTGCACATTCTAAATACTCTGGAAGAGAAGGAAATAAAATTTTGCTTATGTCATTAAACATGACATATGCTTACCTGAGTTTGATCTCAAAAATTTTTTTCAAAGCTTGGTGTAATATCAGCTAGAAGGGAATATTGTTGGAATCCTCTCCATGTGGCTGCAGTATATGTAACTTAATGAATCCTGAATGCACTTAGCAAATCCAGAATGCTTGTTTTGGAGATGTGCTTATAGCTTTGGAACTTAGTTATTAATTTTGTGAATGTTCATATGTTTTAAGATGTGTCGAGAGGCCATACAATGTGGGTTGATCTCTTATTCTAAGGTAAAAGAACATCAAATGATGTTCTTTTGAAGCTTTGGAAGTATTTAAACTCTTGCTGTAAGACAGAATGGTGAGTGTATTTTTGACTTTCTTGTTTGTCTTAAATCCCCTTTGCAACGACCAAGAGAGTTGTCCTGGAAAGCTGATAGAGATTCATGGAAAAGCAGGCTTATTTCTGGAAGGGCGAATTCATCCTGAATTGGAAGGGGTTGAGATTGTCATTGGTGAGAAGGGAGCAACTTTGCCACTCATCACAGTTTTCACTGATGACAAAGGTGCTTACAGGTAATTAACAGATTTGGTTTGATCTTTTGGATTCTTTACTTAAGGTGCGATGGTACCTTGACAATGTGTGTGTGATATCCAAGTGCTTTTCTTAAAACGAGTTCTTCCTTCCTTTTATTTGAAGCGTTGGGCCACTCCACAGTGACTTGGAATATACAGTTACTGCTCAGAAAGAAGGGTTTGTTTTGACTGCAGTAGAAGGAACAGTTGGGGACTTCAAAGCTTTTGCTCTTGCTGGGGTGACATTTGAGGTAATGTTTTGAACGCTCTGGGTTCTGAATGAATAGCGTGTGCAGTTAGAGCTAGACAGGCAAAAAAGTTAACTGACATGTCCCAGCCAAACACAAATGGGTGTGGGATTTGGGGATAATTCTGTCATGGAGAAACAAGTCTCAGTGGATGAGCTTAGTTGTGGACCATGACTTCCCATACAGAAGATATTTGGCAAGGTTTATAGAATGAAAGTTAGAGCTTGCAGTCTGAAAGACTGGCTTTATTTGCTTTTGTAGAGTTGGACTACTTTCTCTTAATTAATGTTACCCCTCAAGGTGATTTTTTCATGTACAGTCTGGTCCAACTAGTACCTGGTTGTGGTCTTTGGGATACTTTGTTCTGGCCCCCAAAATGTCCTATGGAGTCGTAGAGAATGACTGCTCTGGTGGCACATGTGATGTGTAGCTGTGACTGCCCGGATGTTGAGTGTACAAGCTTCTGTAGCCCTGCACTGTCTCAGGAGGGGATACGCTGCAGGTGTGGCTAGTTTTCCTCTGCTTACAGCTGGGTGCTCAGAGCCAGCACATTTGTGCACTCTGTAAGAGGCTTCTGAATTGAACCCTTGTTTGTAGAGCAGCCCTCGCTTAACTTAAAACTATTGCTTTTTCAAAAATAGATCAAATCAGAGGATGACCAGGCCCTTGCTGGAGTTCTCTTGTCTCTCAGTGGAGGGGTGTTTCGGTCCAACCTCCTTACACAGGATAACGGCATGCTGACTTTTTCCAATCTGGTAAGTTGAAATTGATTCTTTTGAATGTGGCTGTGTGTGCGATGCTGTGCTACTTTGCCCTCCGAAACAGGGATGCTATTGGCTCTCTTCAGTGGAGGGGAATGTATGGTCTCCTTCGAAATCATAACCCGCAATGAGAGATGTGGGCCCCTCAGAGCGGACAGTACTTAAAATCTTAGCGAGTGAAAGATGTGAAATCCAACCTGGCAAGAGATTTCTCCCCAACAGGTAGTAGATGATGTTGATTGATCTCAGTTGCTAATTTGCAGTCTGTTAACATGAAACAATCCAATTTGTTGATGATCGTTTGAGAATCTTTGGAGGCAAGAAATCTAATTAGATTATTGATCTGTACATATGTGTAGACATGCCTGAATAGTTTCCTTGCAGACATCCTCTTTTACTGGTCACTTTCCTGTCCTTGAGGTGTTGTGGTAAAGTTTTAGGGCTGTAGTTTCCTTTCCCTCTTCAGGCTTTATCACCTAGTGTAGTTCCATTGGTTTATTGTCCAACATGCTCCCTGTTTTTCAGCACTCACATTTTCTGACCAGTTTAACCTACAGTTGGGACAGAGATCTTTAGCTCTTTAGAGAGCTCTTACAGAAGCATAATTGCTTGGTGTTGCTGAATTTTTCTGTCACTATCAGTAAACAGTTTGTTTTATGCCTCTTTGCAGAGCCCAGGGCAGTATTATTTTAAACCCATGATGAAAGAGTTTCGCTTTGAACCATCATCACAAATGATTGAAGTGCAGGAAGGACAGAATCTTAAAATTCGGATAACTGGTTACAGAACAGCTTACAGGTTAGTAGAGCTGAAATACCATGCAAAATACTGCCTACTGTATCAGAATGCATTATGCAAAATGTGTGTTTTCTCCTGATATGCCTCTGTTCTGAAGGTTTGGAGCGTACTTCTGAAGGCACAATTTAACTTTATTATGCTGTGTTTAAGTATTTTTTTGAGCCTTTTCTCCTGCATGTGAATATATATCTCAGCCCAGATGGCACGACTGTAAGGAGAAACATTGCTATGAAAGCACTATGTCAGTGGCACTGGAGGTGGCTTGTGCTGTGTCCAGTGGGAGAGGAGAGGACTATTCTAGGGGTGGTAGACCAATTCAAGTATCTGACTTCAAGGTCCTTCCTTTCCTTGTCTTCAGGGGTAAGTGCTGCTATTTATGGAGGTCAGGGTATTTGGATTTTTAAAATCGTGCTCTGAACTACAGCTAATTCCAATGCTTTAAACAGTTTTACATATACATTATAAATTCCCATTTTCTTCTCCATGCTATGGTAAATATATTTAAGTACTTTTTCCATCAGTTATAACAGTAAAATATCTTTAAAGTGTGCATTAAAACAACATCTGCATATCTAAAGCAATTGGTTTTCTTTATACCTCTAGCTGTTATGGCACAGTTTCTTCTTTAAATGGAGAGCCTGAGCAGGGAGTCTCAGTAGAAGCAGTGGGGCAGAAGGATTGCAGCATCTACGGAGAAGACACGATAACTGATGAAGAGGGCAAATTCAGGCTACGTGGCCTTCTGGTAAGAATTAGAATGCTCTCTGTAATTTACTTTTATGTTAATGGGATAATGGAGGAATAAAATGTGTTTTATTAATTAGTTACCAATTTCTGTTTCCCATCACATTTGCTAGCTCAGATTCCCTTGCGTCTCTCTCTCTGTGTTAAGAAACACTGACATGCAATGAAGACGCATTCCAGTAAAGGGGGAAAAAACTTCTAGTATAAGGCAGTGAAACTTGCTGCCAGCATACCGTGATGGCCTCCCACAAACACTGAACAGTTCCCGTGATGTGACACGACCACTGCTCAATGCACTGAATGTGTCTGACAGGCGGTTGGCAGTGTTCAGGTATTACAGCAAGGAATTTTCTTAGGCACAAGAATTTGGGGAAGCGTTTAGTTCCTCTTGTGAAAATACTGTGACAGCGTATTTTTAGCAGGATATTGGGTGTATGTATGATGTTGATTGGAAGGCACACGTGCAAAGTAAGCTGTTCTGCAGGAAACATGGAAGCTGATTTTGTGGGACCACTATGTATGGAGTAGGCAATTATGCTGAAGTAGAAAGCAGTATTTGATCAGATTTTAATCCTGTTTAATGTATTTTCTTTCCAGGTAAAACACTTCACAGCAGACGATTTGTTTTAATACTATAATGTAATAAACTAGTGAAAGTTCTGTGTTAGGCCTTCTGTATTTGCTGTCAGTAAACATCCCTAATGGTGTTATTGAGTTAAATATTCTCTGTGGGGTAAGGAAAACTTTAACTGGATAGAGCTAGATCTGTTTGGGTGGTATATCTTAAATTGAATCTCTTACTGTCTTCTAAAAGTACTTATTATTCAGTGTTGGGATTTACTGTCTGAATGTTGCTTTTAGCCTGGTTGTGTGTATCATGTCCAACTCAAAGCTGAAGGCAACGATCACATTGAAAGAGCTTTACCACAGCAGCGTGTAATTGAGGTAATTTTTTCTTTTTTGTAGTATCACTTAAATATGAAATGCATCTGTCCAGGCACTATGTTCTATCAGCAGCAATGTATTTGAATGCATTCTGTTTAGACAAGTGGCTTTCAGCAAGTTAGCTCCGTAAATACGGGCCCCATAGTGTGTGTCAGCACCATAGCTTAAAATTTAAATAAGATAAAGCCCAAACAGTAAGCAAGCGAAAAGGATTCTTTCACAGTCACAAAAACTATGCATCAGGAGATGAGAGAATAAATGTACAGAATACCTTTCAGCATTTCTTTATGATGTGGAACAAAGCTTTAGCGACTTGACATCATACATTGCATACTATCCTATCTTTGTATCTGGTTATTGATTGATAGATTTTGTTGTGCTTTATTTGGTCCAAATCCTGCAGTCGTGATGTAAATGAAATTGTCATTCAGACTAGCAAATTTTTATAAAATGTAATAATAACTTTGAATTGAAAACTGATGAAATCTTGTTAAATATTTCTCCATCCTTACAGATTCAGATTAGCTGCCTCACATTTATCTCTTGACACCCAGCAAAGGTTAATTAGCCTTCGTTAGTTCTTCAGAACTTTTCCGTGGGAGATGGTCATTATTTGAGCACAGACACACTCCTGACCAGGGTGCCCTCCTTTGCAGCGAAACAGAAGGGCAGAATTCTTTCAAGTCCTTAGTGTCTTCTTGCTAAGAGTGCTTGCTGGTTGGGAAGGGGAAGAGAATGGCAATCCAAATTCCAGAAAATCATCTGAAGGTTACGGACTGCAAGTGAGAGCTGTATGCAGTAGCTTGTACTAATAGTACCCTGGCTAGCCTGCCATTTTCTCCAGAAGAGAGAAGTGTTTGAAAGACACCATCCGGAAAAATGTACAGCCTTGGTGACGCCAGACTTGATATGGCACCTGACCTAAACATAACCTGTCTGTTACTGTAGTTATTATTTGAGTACATGTCTGTCTTTATTCTGATCAGAGTTCAGATTTAGAAACACAGATGTTTTGTATTTTAAACAATTTTGAAGAATATAAAGTTATGTATTTTTGAAGTGGGTTATATTGTCATGTGAGCATATTCCTCATTAATCAACTGTACAAACACCCTAGCATGGTAATGTGCATCTCTCAGCACAGATGCAAAATATGGAGACCAGTGTTCAGACATCCAGCAGTCCTGTGTATGTAACTCAGCCTCTTCCAAAATAATGCACGCTTTTGATACTATGTCAAGTTTTAGTTTAATTTAATACTATCAGCCTTGTGCTGATAACGCACAAGTCTGTAATTGTGAGCTGTGCACTCTGGAGGAAAAAGTACTTGCAGTTGGAAAGCCTTAAAATTTTCCATGTGGTTAGTACAGAACAAAATTCATCTTTTGTTTAAAATTAGGAGCAATATTTGTGTTGTGCTAACTGTCCTCAGTTAACTGTTCCTCTGTTGCTAAAAATGTGACTGTTCTTTGTTGCAGGTTGGAAACAGTGACATTGATGATGTTAATATTATAGTATTCCGGCAAATTAATCAATTTGATTTAAGTGGAAATGTAATTACTTCTTCTGAATATCTCTCCACATTATGTGTAAGTTCAAGCCTTTCATCTTTGTCAAGTGTATTTGCCGTTAGTTTCCCAATGTTTTTTTGTAGGGTCACTGGAAATTGTTCAGTAGCCAAGGCACACATTTAATTCAGATTATGTCTGATAGTTTAATGAAGGTGAATTTGAATTCCAGGTAGAATTAAGATTCCAGTGTTCCTCACTGCTTAGCTTTAATGTTCCATTTTTTCGTGGGAGTGTGGTTAAAAAATACTTTCTCAGGCTGGCCTGTACATTTCTGTGTCTGATTCCCTGTCTGTAGGGAGAGCAAGACACCAGGGCTGAAATAAGTCCTCTGTATCAGAGAACTGGATTAATTCCTGAAACACCTGGAATTTTTGACATGCATGCCAGCTAGCAAGAAGATACCATGTAATGCAATGCTGCTATAGAACATGCAAATTTAAAAGCCCAGTTACGAGAGGGTACGAAACAAATAGTAAAACTGAAATTTTCAAAATTCAAAAGACTGCACTGTGATCTGAAAAAACTTGCTGAACATCTGTGATCCTTTTGGTTTAGGGTGCAAATGCTGGAAGTATCTGCAAGAAACATTAGTGTGGTAGGAGTTATAGTACCATTTCTCAGGTTTAAAAACTTCTTGAAATGTTACCTACAGATATAAATGCAATGACTGGATTCCTTTCAGACTAGTCTTTTTTATACATCACACCTGCCAAGATCTCATTGCTAAGCTGTTGGTTTTTTTGGGAGATATCCAGAGGATCCAGCACTTGGAACAGGTGTGAAGGGAAAATGTATCACCTTACTGAAGAGCACCTGAGCAAGCTTCCTGTCTTTCTCAGGATATTTAGACCCTTGTGCTTCAGCCTAAGCAAATAGGAATTGATGTAAAAGTTTAATTATATGGAAGTTATCCAAGCCCTGGTACCTGTTTCATGTTAGGTTGGGTCTTGTGTTGAATGTAGCGCACGTGTGCTGTTAATGGGTGCATACCATCACCGTTGCTTTCAAGGCAGAAATTTTTGCCTTTGAAAGATGTGCTAAGATCTGATACAGACAAGACTGTGACCTCAGTCTGGTCCATTCTGGCTGCATGGGCTGGATGGAACAACTGGAAATGCTCTGGTGAGCTGTGATTGGAGCTGCAACCACAGTACCACTGGGAGGAATTAATGAGAATTTAGTTGGGCCGTGTCTGCAAGGAGAGCCGAGTCTTGGCGAATACCTGATCCATAGGTTTACAGACAATGGTGTAGATGCTAGAAGGCTGCTTCGGAGAGGTCCACAAGAACTGTCACTTTGCTTACTGTGTCCTCTGGAGGAGGCGCAGTGGCTGAGAAACTTTTGGGTGTACAGGCAGCCTCCTGTAAGGAGGTGCTGCTACCCCTACCAGCCTTGTTTGACTGTGATACAACCCTCTATTAGTTATGCTTATTCCTGAGCAAACTGTGTTTGCTGAGGAGTTCAGGCCTGATACGTAGCTTGAGAATGTCTAGCTTGTTAAATAAGTGTAGAGAAATTGAAATCAAGAAAGTGAGCATATTGGAGAAATGGAAACAATCCCCAGCTGCAAAGTCCTGTGAAGCTGCTGGGATTATTTAGAAGAATTACTCAGTTCTGGTTGATGTGCAGCACAGACTATTTTTAATACACTAGGTATGTGAAAATGTCAGACATCATTTTTTTCCTAAATTATTTCAAGTTCTGTAAAAAGACTGTTTTCACAACCCAGATTATAACAATTTCAAGTGTTCTTACTTAACAGTTTTCTGTTTGTAAAACACATGATGCATTTTGAAGTGCTTTTATCCCTTAAGATGTGGGATGTCTGGAATAATCTGTTGTGGTGCAGGCTCAGAAATACCTGGTTTGTGCTTTCTTCTTTTCCTCACAGGTGAAGCTCTACAAAAGTGAAAATCTTGACAACCCAATTCATACAGTCAACTTAGGCCTATCCCTGTTTTTCCATTTCCCACCACTGCTCCGAGATGGAGAGGTGAGAATATTGCTGAATAATCAGTTTACGTCACTTTAATTTTTTTTCCCTAAGGACACCAAAGTGTTATTTCTGGTGTGCCGATAGTACTGTGTTCGTGCTGGAGTCACCAGTGTCTCAGATGATTTGAAGCCTGTTAAACCGACTTTTGCCTTTAAATCTAATTTTGTCCCAGACTGCTACTAATGCTGTAGACTGAGTGTATTTTTTTACCCACAGAATTACGTGGTGCTCCTGGATTCTACGTTGTCTAAATCACAGTATGACTACACCCTGCCTCAAGTTTCGTTCACTGCTATCGGATATCACAAACATGTTACACTGGTCTTTAGTCCCACTGTAAGTACAAAATACTGAAATGTTCCACTGTTCACCTTGAGAGCAATGTCTGGTAGTAAAGCCTGCGTGGATTTTGTGGTCTTGGTCAAACTTTCTGTTAATGTAAATATAAAGAGGTTTATGAGAGGCATTAAAGTGACAATGAATTTGGATTCGGCCACATTTAAGGCATCAGGCAGGGATGTAATAACCTGGTATGCTATGGAAGGCGAGGAAGGAGTGCAGGAAGTTGTAGCCATGACACTAACTGAAAGGTTGCAGTAACTGAAGGCTGAAAGATAGGATTGTTGTCAGAACAACAATCTCCAAAAGGAGAGCTTTAGTTATTGGAGCTGGGGTAGAGGGTAAAGCAGAGGGGTTTCAAACTAGCATCAGGGGAAGACTTCTCCCTTGAGAGAGAGGTGTCTTTTTGCACTGCTGAACAGTGCAGACAATTTAGTGAAGTGTTCATTCTATAGTACTTCAATGATCTATTTTTTTTTCTGCATTGCTGCATGTTCAGGTGCCAGTGAAACATGAGGGGAACATGAAATGGCAGTTATAAATGAAGGATGCAGATGTGCCTGAAAAATGTTGTGCTAGGATGGTTGATGTAGTATTATCACTGGGATCACAGAAGTTGGGGCAGCGTGTGACAGGTAAATCACACCAGTTTGCCTGTGAAGTGTAGACTGACCATCAGCAAATTAGTTTTAGAATACAACAAAGCCCAGGAAGAAGGTTAATAGATGAATTAATATGGTCAAGGGGACTGCTTTGAAGTTGAAAGTAAAGTAAATCCTAGGGCAGTACTTAGAAGGAAGACAGATTGGAGGGACTGGACATGCCACATGATCCTAGTCCTGACATTACTTAAAGCTGCAGGATTTCATAGTCAAAATAATGGTTAAAAAAAAAATAAATCCATGGTCCTCACTGTTTTCAGAGAAAGCTGCCTGAACAAGATATTGCCCAAGGATCTTACATTGCATTACCACTGACGCTGCTTCTGTTGTTGGCTGGTTACAACCACGATAAGGTAGGTCATGGGTTTTTTTGTCTTATTTAATATTATTGTGCTATCAATTAATACTTTGTACTATGTTAAGCGAGGGTTTGTAGAGGTGGTTATTCAGACAGAGATGCAGTCAGCAGTCACCTTATGTGACACATTTTAAGAAAAGCCACAATGTAGCCAAGGTTTCAGACAATTACCTTCCTTTAAAAAAAACTTAGTGTGAAGGTGAGTTCCTGTGCCGTTTCTGAATTTTGTCTTCTCTTTTGATGAATTTGTCTTCTCTTTCTAAATTGTCTTGTCTTTTGATGGCTCTGTGAAAGAAAACAATATAACATCATTCAAATTCACATAACCAGACTCAGTGGTAATTGGAATAAAAATAATTATTTTACTGGCTTCAGGAACAATCAGACTTGAAAAAATCTTGCAAGTCATTGAGTCTAGTCGCTTTAGCTTTACACTGTCCCTCGTGAAAAGGTCTGAAGGGGAATATAACAACCTACTATATAACCCCCCCTGTCTTTGTTAGCAAGCCTTGCTCTTCTAGTCTTCTCTGATATGACTGGATATCTGTTTTGCTGATAAGAGAAAATAATTTGACTGTGCAGTTTGATTTGCTCTCAAACCTGTGTAAGACAGCACAGAACATGGGATTCTCCGGGATTTTCTAGTGTCACTGAAAGTGTCTCCACTGAAAACAGTGGTCTGCTTCTAGACTCTGGACTCAAACTGCTGTTCTTGACTGAATGACTGCAGGAAATAAAATTACTGACAATCATTTTAGTTTTTGATTATCAGAAATTCCCAGAAGTTTGGTTTGATTGATTCCTTCCCAAGATTTGCTGCCATTTTCTGTTATCTTTGTAGATGTGACATTTACGCAATAGATTATGTCTGCGGATGCATGGGTCTAAAGAACGTTATCATTTAGACTTTTAGATTACATGCCATTGTAATCTCAAGATGCTTCCTTTTTTTTTTTTTTCCCCAGCTTATTCCCTTATTGCTACAGTTGACAACTCGACTGCAAGGAGTTCGTGCTCTTGGACAGACAGGTTCTGACACAGGTGGCTCAGAGGATGCAAAGAGACAAACGAAAAAACAGAAGACCAGACGGACGTGAGATGAAAATAATGATTGCATGAAGTGGTGCTCTGTCAAACTGGAGCCTGAGGAAGTGAAGCCACTAACATGCATTTTTGTTGAATTTGCAGACTTCACATTTTCGTTGTTGCTACGTGTGTGCTGTTTGTCACACTAGCTCCATTTTGGTTGTAAATTTTCTACGGAGTCTATAGATTTACTTATTGTAAAGTAATGAAATGAATGGCTCTGTTGTCACTGTGAGTGCATCTCCCATACTTGAAGACAATTAAAGAATTTTTTTTCTCTTCAGTGGAACAGGTCGTGCTGTCTTCATTAATGATTGGTAAAAGCAGTGGTAATAGACTGCTTGACTTCACTTTCAGTCTCTAGATTTTGGGATCATTTTTCTGTACATTTTGAAATACTCAGTTTACAGAAGCAGCACAGAGGGATTTTATTATATCAGTGGTGCTTGAAAAAAAGTTTTGGGGGACATACATGAGCTGGTGAATTATGTCTGGCACTTCCAGTTCAGCAGCTTGATTAAAGAGTCTGTCATCTGCACAGCTGTGATTCCAGTTCTTATCCAATGATTATGCTGTCTTTGATTAAAATCAAATTTTTGCCCAATGAACACAAACTGCTAATGTCAGGTAAGGCTAGTTGTTAATGTCAGGTAAGTTCTGGTGATCCTACTGCTAAAGCAGTGTTTAAATTTCAGTTTCATATACAGTGTGATCTCTTTAGACCTGAATTTTCCTGAAAATTTTCCTGAGTATTCCTGAAGTGGCTTTGCCTGGTTGTTCTACTCTTTCCAAAGCTGTACTGTGTTAACAGTCGATGATACCTATTCACCTGTGTAGCTGTCACATCTTCTACTCATGCTACGTGCAGCCTTCTTGCCAATTGATCATTGATTTTTTTTTTTTTTTTTTACTTTAAGAAATGTGAGCTTTTCAAAATCTCCAGCGTGTACAGTCCCAATAACGTAGTCTGAAATAAGTAAGTGTTTCTTACAGGCTATCTTTTGATTCTTGTTTGAAGTAGACAGTTGGACATACACAGTTGAAATGTTAATGGAGCTTTTTATTGACAAATAGTATAAAGGTTAATAGAGCTTTCGAAAGATGCACATAAATGCCTACAAATATTGCAAAGACATTGGTACTGCCAGTAAGTGGCAATGTTTCTCTTTTATAGTACTTGAAATGAAGTCCCTGCACATTTAAATATTTAAGCTTACAAACCCTACAATTCTTAAAGATTTGGAAGCTAAAGCTTTTATGCTGTTTTTGTTGGTATTTTGCATTAGTTTGGGCCTCAATAATTAAAACTTCATTCGGTGATCATTCTGATCTCTCTAAGGGGGATTGTATCAAGATCATAAAAATGAAGAATGTCGAAAAAGCATGTATGTATAGAGTTTGAGATGAAGCTCTAATAAAATGTCGTGCTTTCTACTTAATGACCTTGAATTTTATGTTGCTGTGATAAAATATATGGGGAAAAAAGTGTTGTAAGACTTATAATAAATTGTACATTTTCAATATGTCTTTAATTTAAGCTGGTGAATGTTAAGAAAGGCATTGCTACTTTGGGGGAATGTATGAAGAAGAAATGCATGTGCCTTGAGGGGGCTACCAGATATTCTGACCTCTGAACTGTGGGACTTCCTGATGACTGACCTTAAACATTGGAAATGCTGTTAATAAAAAATTTTTAAAAGTGTTAAGGCTTGCTAATTTAATGCTTGCTTCTAAACCTAGGATTTGCCCAAATATCTTCTCAAATTTTTATTTTCTTTGCCTTCTGCAGCACACTGGTGGCTTACTTGCTTCCAGCCTTGTGTTTGAGGTTTATTGTGCTTTTGAAGTATTTATTCCTAACAAAAACTATAGCTTGCAGTTTCTCCCTTGGCAGAGAAGTCACGGTGCTCTTTGAGAACATGGGGAAAACTAATGCATGAGATAATTTTCTAAAGCAGAACTGACGTATTAAATGTCAAGAAATTGATATCTCCAGTTATATTTAGAAACCAATAATCAGATACACAAACCCAAGCAGAAAAATCAGCAATGTGGTCTCTCCAATCCCCAGAGCCACGTGCATAAAGCGAGGCTAGACTGAGGGCTGTGTGAGCTGGCCATGAACGGTCTGACTGGGCACTGGAGGGAATATTTGTGTTACCAGGGTGGTCTGCATGGGCAAACTCCTGCCTCCAACTGCTCAGCTCAGGTACCTGGACTAAGCACTTAGGATTTTGAAGGTAAGATGGCTTTGAAAATCCTGCTAGACATCTAAGTAACTGCCTTGCCCAGAAAAGCTAAGGCGGAATGTGGAATTGAACCTTGAGATGACTGACCTCTAATTTTCATCCTATTCAGTATTCCCTACTTTGCATGATATCTGTATTTCTGTTTTTCCAGTCTGAAAGTAATTTAAATTGGGCTTCTTGCACAGGTAGATGCAGTAAGATGAGTGGTGTAGAGAAGGTCTGAAAGGTAGCCAATTTCCTGAGCTGGCACAACAGCACTGGCTCGGATCACACCCAGGCATGGGTTCACACTGCGTGTGGTAAGTCATGTTTACCTTGCAGATAGATTGGTGGCTTTAGAAATTCTCTGAAAATCCAGGAAATCTATTTCTGGTGTGTTATCGATGATGCCAGAACTCTGTAATTTTTTTTTTTTTTTTTTTTTTTTTTTACTTTTAAAAGAACACCCAATGAGTTTAGTCTCTGTCGTTCAGTCATGTATTTAAACCTGGAATGGGCCCATATGTCCTTGTACAAATGAAGAGCAGCTCTGTGCTAATTACCATTCCTTGAGACTTCACGGATTAGTATTAGCAAATGCAACTTTTTCCCCTTGAATGTTTTACAGAGGTTTTGTGAGCTTTTTACATCAGGTAGCTTGTCCTTTCAATTTTCTATTATATCTTTTGTAATTGCTTTCTGTCTATATTTGATATGTTGTTGCTTTACTCCAGTAACTTCCATTATCGCTTTTAACTGTTTGCTATTACTGGGATCAACATGATTGCATTATTTACACTGTTTGCTTTAAATATCACTTTTTCCTTGTTCTCCCCCCTCCTCTCCCACCATCTTCCTGGGAATGTTTGAGGTTAGCAACATGATGCTGTCTAAAGTCTTATTTGTTACCTTCATAGCCTGAGACCATGATTACTGTAAGCCCAATGGCATATTATCATAAAGCACTAAACACCCACCAGACCATTAATGAATTTATCATATCTAAGAGCTCAATAGACAGTGAGAGATAAACCTGTTTTTTACTGCCTGTGGAAGTCAGCAGGTTGATTCCTCCTTTAATTCTTATTTTTGTCAATACTAGAAAAATTAAATCCCCATCATGACAACTCTAGTTTCTTCACAGGTCTCTCATCACATTGAGTCTAGCTACTTTTTTTTGTTGTTTTTTAAAGTGTAGGGTTGTGATAAACTACCAACAAATTCCCACTCCAAGCCCTCCTACTCTCAGGCCCAGGAAAAACTAATAGGGGCTTAAGTAAAACACGTGAAAAGGAATGGCTGTATTTCTGTGGTCTCTGGTGCTGCATTAAAGTGGTTTCTACATTCAGTCATTAGGAAGCAGGTTCACGTGCTCCATTCTGTACGTAGGGCTTGCTCCTTTAGAAAGGAGGGGATGGGATGCTGCCCAGGCCCTCCTCTCCCCTTTCCTCAACATGTCTGATGTATGACAGACATGGATGATTTCTTTTAGTGAACTGAAGAGTTTATTAAGCCCGCATCTGCAGGCTTGGGGTCTGGGTGTTTTGTCTGCTATGCAGACAGGCCTGACAATGTTTAACCAGCACCTGTGACCATCTCAAGCAGCCTTCTCTGTCATTAGAGGAGCAAAGCCCTTTACGTGCAAAGAGAAAAAAATAGTTTAATAAGCATGGACACTGGATGCAAATTTGCTTATGCGTTTAAAATCCGAACTAGTGTCTCCCTTCTACTCTGCACTCCAGCTGTATGTACTGTTATCCTTGGGGAGGCTTAGTGTGATGCCAGAACACAAGTACAAGGGACTCTGTCATTCTTTCTGGCGGAAGGACAGAGCAACTTTAAGTAGTAAGTGTCAGCTCTGAAACAAGCTCTGTAAGGATCATAAGCTTGTATTAAGAATGATTCATGCAGCTATATGTGCTCATACAAAGCTTAGTCCAGCGGTGATATGTCAAGCCACGGTAAGCAGATGTGGAATTGGTGACATATGATAAAGTCAGAAATCTACAAAAAAAAAAAGTTTGAAAAAAATGTATTCACATGTTGCTTTTCATGTTTATAGCCGTATAAATCTTAGCCATGATCGTGTAATGCTTTCTGTAATGTCATTCATCAGCTGTCTTGTTGATAATTTCTGCTGTCTTTCAAAAAAATTTGTTGTGAGTGTGTTGTTCTAATTTCCCATGCTGAGATATTATTGTCTTGATTTGTATTGTCTTGCACTTGACATTATTTCTTTTTGTTCTCTCCTCCTGGAGCCCAGACTCCCTCCATTGCTCGGCTTTCAGCGTGGCCAGGTGTCGTGGCCCCTCTGATCATGCTGCATCCACAAGGACTTGTCACTCACCCCTGTAGTCCCCTGAACATGGTAAGACTCTCTACCATGTCTGCTGGAACCCTGAATGTAGCACTGAATTTCCTAAAGAGAGAGATGCCTGAACTTTACCTCTAAACATTGTAATTCTCATTTGCATTTCTCACTACTGAAACACCCAACTCTTGGCATGATTCTGAATGACCAGTTCTACTCTTTCCAGATTGGTTTGTAGTTCCTGTTGACAGAGGCAGCCGTGATTTGAAGGGGGCCGGGGCCATATCACACATCACTTGCTTCAAGGGGCAGAGTTACAGGGAGAGAAAGTGTGTCACTGTGTAAATCCCAAACTCACCTCTTCATTGGCAAATCAAAGTTTCTCCAAGCATCAGCAGAAAGAGCACAGCACCATCCTTTTGGCATTCTCTAGAGTTTAGGTTTGTATTTTTACATTTCTCCTCAGTAGATATTTTCTTGCCTCTCTGTGGCCCAGGTGTGAGAATGGAGTAACTGATGCCGTGGTGGGTCTGCACAGTGAGCGCTGACTGAAGGATGGGAAATAAGACCATGAATTTCACTTTTTATAGTATGGATGGACTTTGTGAAGTGACAATTTTGTTTTCAATGCTTTTTGTTTCTGGTGTGTGGCAGGGTAGAAGATGACCAAAAGAGATCTTGGTGTTCTGGGAACAAACTTTCATTCGTCTGTGTGTAACTTCCAGCTCTGTGAGCTGGGGCTTT